GTGGCAGCCCGCAACCTCTCTAAAAAAAAAAAAAAATAAATCCTCTACAGTGACAAGGGAGTAAGAGAGAGAGTCCTATAATAATAATACCGCACTAATAATAGACACGGCAGCCTCCCCCTTGCTGCGGAGGCTCACCGTACAATTCCTACCCCTCCTCCTTTTTTTGTTTTTCTTTTTGTTGTTGTTGTTGTTCCTTCCGTTCTCCCTTTTTTCTTTTTTCTTTTTTTGTTACTTTTCCCTTCCGCTGCTCCGCAGTTCCTCGCTGCAGCTCACCGCCCTCTTGTCTGCCTCTAATGCTACGAGCAGCTGCGACACAAGAAAAAAAAAAGATATTCCATAAAAAAGAAATAATAATAATAATAAAGGGACAGATATACAGGTACATATGCATGTATATTTATACTTATTTGTTATCAACAGCCAAAAATAAATAAATAAATAAATAATAATAAAGCAGAAAGAAACCCGAGGTGCTCTCCATTGCAACTGTTGCTATCCTTTTTTTGGGGGGGTTAAAGGTGTGGTTAATGGAATGTACCAACTTCATCCTCTCCACCTTTGCATGTGGGGAGATGAGAGAAAAAAAAAAAGGGAGAGAGAGAGGGAGAGAGGGAGAGAGGGAGAGAGGGAGAAAGCGCGTGCTCCCTCCATGTTTCAGCGCCCCACCCACTCCCCCATCCCATGTGTCTTCTGAAGGTCGCAAGTGAGAGCGCTGCAGACTCACTAGAATCCACGCAAAACAAAGGCACATCCGCAATATCGCCGGTGTGTCCTTCTCTGTCCCCCCCAAACGATATTCTCCCAACAGAAATCCGCCCTGTCAACGGCCATTTATTCCTTCTTTTCTTCCGTTTTCTCCACTTTCTTCGTTCTTTGGGTACTTTGGTACAAGCCAAAGACCCACATACACACACACACACCATTCTCCCTGTTCCTTGTTCTTTATTATTATTGTTTTTTGTTTGTTTTTTTTCTCTCTCCTTCTATTCATTCCCACCTCCTCCAGCGTCTTGCTTTTCTTCCACCATCCCTCTAATTTATACACGTCAAGTTAACTGGCCCCTAACAGACATTCCTTCCTCCTCATTCACTGCCCGATATATGTATGCATGTACGTGTATGCGTATCCCTTTCCTTCCCGCGTCGCTATTAGACAATGCGGAGAAGGCCTAGCACTGGCGGTGGGACTTCACCTTGCGCACAATATCTTCGAATTCGAGCTCCGTGACATCGTTCGCCTGAATGGGCTGAAACCCTTCCGTCATCGCATTCAACGCGTCGCGGCTGCTGCTGTACAACATCTTCGTGCGCGGGAGTCCCGAATCCGGGTTCCAGCTGACAAGAATAAGCTTGTCACGCTTTCCATCGTTTGTTTCATACTCAAAGTCGTATGCAGCGTAGCAGGGGGATGACTTGTCGATAGAATCCACAAATTGCTGGAATGTAGCGTCCCTCTCACCCACCGCCTTAACGGCTATATTTTTCTGGTCAATAATGTGAAGCATGACGTAACGGCACCTCTTCTGACGAAGATCCGTGAGCGCCTTGATGCACTCATCGGAGACAACAACACCTGACATAGCCATGATTGTTTGTTATTAATTATATATATTTTTTGGGGGGAAATTATAAAAGTTAGCGCTAGGAATACTGTTTGTTTGTTTTGTTTTTGGTTTGCTTCTTGTTGTTGTTCTCGTTATTTCCTTCTTTACCCTTGTGAAAGTCAATTCCCTCTTGTGAATGTGGGAATGCCGGAAAAACATAAAAATAGAGTGATTTGTCGGGCGGTCACGGCGGCAACAGCAAAAAAAAAAAAAAAAAAAGACATGCACATTATAAATACAAATAATGCCCTTTTATGTCTACACGCGGCGCAAACGATGTGAGGAAAAGAACCGTACGCAAAAAAAATAAAATAAAATAATAACAATCATAACTCCATCATCATCAGCAGCAGCAGCAGCCACAGGGTTAGGGCGGACTACAGCCCGAGTAGGCCGCGAACAAAACTGTTGCTGGCAGTGCAGGGAAGAAAAAAAACAGGCTCAGCATCCAACGGTGTTGCCGTCGTTTCCACCCGCTTGCCTGTCACGCTGCCATCAGAGGCTGCATATGTGCTGTGCGGGACCGGGGCCGGGTATGGATCCCCCTCCTCCGCTGCACCGCAAAGTACGCCAGTGTACAAAGTCCCGCTGAATGCGAGATAAAAAACCGCCACAAGCCCTGCCGTGCTCTGCAACGGAACTCGCGGCGGCTCCAATCCTGTCGTTTGTGGCGCCGCCAGCTTCCTCCTGCTAGAAAAATTGATGCCGGCCGATGTTGTGGCACTTGCTGCAGCCTGCCGTGGACGCTTGTTGGGCGGCTGCATCCAGAGAGCGTCCGCTCCCCCAGCAGAAAGCCTGCGGGCACACTTTTCATCCGCTGGATTGCGGGCACGACCGAGCACAACGGCCGATAACGCATCGTCAGCCGACGGCCCCTCGATTTCCTCCGCAGCCGCATCCATTTTTATTGCACGCCAAAAAGCCAACGCACTCTGGACTGTCTGCCCCTCAGCCGCCACGGAAGTGTACTGCGTCCGCAGCAGGTCTGCATCCTCCTCAAGACGCCGCAGGGCCTCTGCGTCTCGCACGGTAATTTCTGCACAAAAGACTTTCGCGATGGGTGCATGGACCTGAAGAGAAGAAGCGGAAGAGGGGAGAAAGCGCACGTGGATGTCGTAATTGCCTCTCTCCTGCTTGAGAAACTGCGTCTTCCTACTCGTGTTGTTTGCCTCACTCTGAGAATGAGAGTATTCTCCTCCTTTTCTTTCGCTAGCAACCAACGGCATCACACGCGTCAAGACAAGATCTGCAATCCGCTGCGCCATCCCCGCAAGATACTCCCGTGGTTGTTGGACCCAAATGCGGTGCATCGCGCTCCCCGTGGAGTAGCCATGTTCCCTCCGCAACAACTCCAACAACGAAGACACCTCTGCGTCTTCAGCCCCCATAACTGCTGATCCGGATGACACTCCCTCACCATTCTCTGCACATCTCGCAGTGTTGTGTGATGCCGCAGCGGCGGCCCGACTCCGTAGACGCGCTGCTTCCTCAAGAAAGACGCCAAAAGGGTGCGGCGGCGAAGGCGGGTTGGCAAGAAGATCCACATACTGTCTCGCGCGACGGAGGCTCTGCGGTGTGATTACGCGCCCAAGATGTAGAAGAAGAGGCGGTTTTGCCCTGCAGGCCGAAGACGCAAGAGCCGCGCGTGAGCCCTCGCCTTGCATTTATTTTTTGGCTTTTAAACTTCTTTTACTGATTACGTAAAGAGACGATCCAAATGACTACACCCAACAGTAGCAGCAGCAATCATCCCGCGGAGCCACAGTCCCTCCCCTCAAATTGACGGCAAGGGATGCAACGTAAAATAAACAGATGCATATGCGTATATCATTGTCCCCTCCTCTACACCCACCACCTCCAACAGCGTGAAGAAGAGTCGTGGGGTTACCAAAAAAAAAAAAGTAATAAACACCCCCCACACCCCAACGGTCTAAGAGTAACAAAAGAAATACTCACAGACGCAAAAAGACAAAGAAAACACACACACACACAATAATAAAAATACACGGGAGAAAAAGCACACACGGACACACTCTCTCTAAATATATATCGCCCCCTGTCCGCGTGCAAACAAAAAAAAACTTCAAAAATAAAAAAAGGCAATAAAGCTGATCTATTGAACACTCGCCGCCGACCGCAGCGCCTCTAACATTTGCAACACCTCCTTTAGGGATGTGAGGTAATCCACCCACTGTTGACTTCCGCGGCACTGCGGGAGTTCTCGCCACAGAAGCGATTTCACACGCCGGCGTAAATCCCGCTCTAGTCGTCGTAGCCGCTTATTTTCCTCCGGCACGGGGTCCTGAGAAGTCTCAGGTGCTTTGGAATCACCGAGCTGTGCAGCACTCACAAGTTTAGGACTCGCAGATGCATGACCGCTAGTTGTCGCCCCAGTCGAATCACTTTTCATCGCCAGCGGAAAACTGTGCGGGAGTGGTGAAGGAAAGGAGCTGTCTTGTCGTTCCCACGAAGAAGTGCGCCGCGGTGACTGTAGAGCCTTTTTCCGTGTAAATGCATCCCGCATCCCTCGAGAGGGTGAGGACCTTGCACTTCTGCCAGGGCAGGCACAGGTGTGCGCCTCACCGTTGCCGCCGGACGCACCTCGCTGGCGTCTTGGCGTAACGGTTATCGGCCGCATATACTCATCCACGAAAATAAGAAAATAGCGTGCCACACACACAGAACAGTATGGATTCAGGCGACCGGGCCCAAGTGGACTCTTTGGGCGTGTTGTCGCGATCAATCTGCGTGTCGAGAATGCCCTGGTCCTTGTGGAGCGACGCACAAAAAATATCGGGAGTCTTCGGCCCCGTGCATCGTAATACTCCTCGCATGTGGGATCCAACACACGGTGATACGCGTCGTTGTAGTAACAGTAGTACTCACCAGGAATGCCTTTAAACTCCTCATTTGCCCCGTCCTTCCCTACATCCAACTCCTCACGCCATGCCTGACGCCACGAGGGGCTGCCCTCCTGCTCTCCACGTCGTTGCCGCGGCACTGAAGGTTGACTAAAAAAACTCGCATGCGGAGCGGAATCCGTTTTCTCATCCCCATCTTGCCCGATAAAATCGCAAATTTTTGACGGAGGCGAGGGGGACGGCTTCTCCTCGGAAGAGGCTTTTTGATATCCCTCCAGCGACTTCTGACGGCGCAAATGAGACGGAGAATCTCGCACCTCAACAGGAGCGGTTTCCCCAGAGAGGCGACCCAAGGGTTCCTCTTGCCGCAGCGGTGGCATCCCGGAAAGTTCTGCGGGCGGTGAAGGAAAATTTAAAGCCTCCACATCCATGAGAATAGGAACTTCCTGATTTCCTGGTTTGGCGTCCCCTCCCGTGGGGCGTCGCCCAATTGGCCCTGCATGGGTCGAAAAAGACGACGAAGATCCTTTCTGTGGGTCGATTATCCCCTGCATCACGTCCCCAGAACCACTCCGCGTTACGTGTGCCATTGGAAAGGAGGAAGAAATGCTGTGGTTTCCGTCCGTGTCCAAGACACGTGGCCCACCGGGAGACAAATTTGGTCCCAGCGAGGGATACCGTATTATGTTTAAAGCCTCTGAGGTCTTGGGGAACGCACGCGATCTTTCAGGCTCGCCACTGAGCACTGCTCTCACACGTTCCTGTAAAGCTGGTGTCAACGTTGATAGCATCTCCTCAATACTGGTGTCACTCTCCCAGGGAGGCGTCCGCAAACCTTCCCCGCTGCCTCCTCCCGACCCGCGGTGCAGCGGCCGCACAGTGCGGTGAACGTACCAACTCACATCCGTCCTCGCCATCTCCATTTCCACACTGCTTGAAGATGAGCTGCCAATGAAATGGGCAAAATCCTTCACTCGTGATGCCATGAAGGGGCCCTCGCGTTCCCCATCACCAGTCGCCGTTTTATTCAGCATTTGATCTTCCCGTTGCTGATCGTTTTCAATGTGCGATGGAGCGGCAGGCAAAGCGGCGTCCTCCCGCTTCTCCAAAGTAACAGCCGAACTATGCAACAGGCTCTCCTCACCGCATTTGGGCTTCGCCGAGACTGCTGAAAATGCCTCCTCGACTAAATCCGCGGCAGCTGCAGGTCCACGCTTGGAGGAGGCTCTAATGAGGAGGGACGAATCGCTCATCATTCGCACAAGCACAAAATTGAACCAGCGGCGAAAGCATGCAAGCAGCTGTCGACCCTCCTTCTGTATAAGAAACTTTGCAAGTGTGCACTCTAATTGACGCTCCCTCCTCGGTGACGCGCTCCCAGAGTGCTCCGAAGAGGCGGCATAGTCAGTGTGCGGAATCTTCTTCACTCGAGAAAGACCTCTTTCATTGACCGAGACCACCTCACTTGTCCGCTCTGCCAGCCGTGATGACTCACCCCCACGCTTGTCTCGCAGCATCGCCTTGCGTCGTCGTCGGCTGCCCACCTTCCATAAGGCGTCGGGGCGCTCTTCCTTGCGGCATATATCTACATGATCCTCCTCATTACTCTTGGCATCCGGAGTAGCCGCCAAGTTCTCCTCGTCAAACAGCTCCTTGAAAACATGTGAGGGAGCAGCGGTAGGCGAAACGTTGCCTCGTCTCTTTTCATGCGGCGAGAAAATGTCCTCATCAGCCTGTATTCCATCCGCTCTATGCGGGAAAAAAATCGCACGCAAAGGCGAAATAGCCATAGCTGAAGCTTCCTCTTTCTGCAACAACACTGGTGAAGCCGAAATGTCCCCCAGTGTACGTATCATCCCCTGAGATAACGGTGGGCTTGAAGCCACATCTGTGCTCTCCATGGAGATAAAATCATCGCGCCGAGCTAAAGCACGCAACTGAACGTTCCTTTGATGCGCCCATGAATCCACATGTTCATTCCATTGTTGCTGATGCTCCACAAAAGTCCCCACGAGAATCACGGAAATACCGCACAAGGAACAAACACGACAAATGTTGCTCCGCACGGTCTTTTCTTCTCCCATCACCGCTACGGTAGACGACACCGGCATGGCGGCTTGTGATGCAGCACGGGTTTCGTGAGTGGAGGTATCAATTGTGTGTAACGCGTCTAGACCCCGTGGTTGAGCGGGTGCTTGTGGTGGACGTGCAGGAACATCGTGGAGCGTGTCATCACTGGCCTTTAGAACTGTGGGCATGCCCCGTAGAACGCTCGTCGCATCCCTGGTTGGCGGAAGCTCGCTGGTGGGACGGATGCGAGGAGGTGTGTGCGGGCGGAACATAACGAACGATGGTGATTCAAAACGAAGACTCAACACCGAAGAATTAGGCGCGGTTCGAACATTTGGCTGCTGATGATGATGATGATTTTGTTGATCTTTTTCTTGGCGCTGAGACTCATGCAGGAGTGTTGCACCGCTCGGGGTCCGTGGCAGTGTCTTCTCCGCCAAATTCCCCTGGGTCTCGCTGCCGGCCGCCAGAGGGCTGGACCACGGAGAAGTGGAGCCCCCTTTAAAAGAGGAGTGCGCCGTGACGGATGCAGTGGAGGGGTTGTCAGCCGCACTCCCCCGAGACACGTTGACACGAAACAATTCCTTCGCCTGATGACTCATTCACCACCTCAAGACAAGTATGCCACTGCAGTGGCGGTGCAGGACCGTCAATGCGTGCCCCTCGCGGTGCGTACCGCCCTTCTAGACGCACAATTCCGTCAACGCTGGTTGGCGTCGGCTGCAAAGAAATGTGGCGCGCAACCGTACCTCGCCTCTGCCCCCCTCCTCCTCCACCCCTTCTACTGGCTACTGCAGCTAATACTTCCTCCCCGACAGTTGGAGCGGAAGGACGCTCGAAACGCGTCTGTGGAAAAATGCGGAAAAAGAAGCCACAAAAGGGGAATTCATCAAGAAAGAATCACAAGCAAAAATAAATAACAATAAATAATAATAATAATAATATAGGAGAATTCCGTGAAGTGAAGAAAAAAACAAAAAAGAAAAGGCGGAGGGATAGAAAACTTTCAAAAGTTACAATCGGCCAGAGTTCAAGGTTGAAGAAAATGTGGTTGGTCATGCGTCATTGTGCCTGATGCCCTTTTTCACCCCGCCTTCGAGCGGCAGTGGTGGTGGTTGGGTTTTTTCGGCCCTTCTTCCTCCCTTCAGCCCTCTGATGCGGTGGCTTCGTGCCGTCCTCGTCCGATTCTCCCAGCAGCTGCGCCACAGCCGTTGCGGCAGCGGCGTTTTCGTAATTGATTGTGCTAACATGATGCACACGATAGCCTCGTTTCAGAAGCTCTATGACAATACGGGCGATATTGCGGGAATCATCGATGCCGCTGTGTGGATGGCCGTGAAAGGACAGCCCCAACTTCCGTAGCATATCATTCAGTTTGCGTGGGCGCATTCGGAAGTGCTCGGCAAAACTGTGACGCACATTCACCCAGCGGTAGAAGAGGGGAGGGAACAAATGTCCATCCCGCACCACACTGCACTCGTACATAAATTTCCGCATATCCCATGGGCCGTCTGTTACCATGCATATCATCCTCTCGCAGTCAATCCAGCCCGGGTTATGGGTCTCGTCGTACACAAAACGCCTCTTCTGCGACGCCTTCAGACATTTGTTCAGCCCTTCCAGATGCTCCTTCCTCCAGCGGCGGCAGAGCGGGTACACCACCTCCCGCAGCCAAAGGTCAAAATGCCGCAGTACTTCCGGCAGTCGTGGAGCTGCATCCACTTGGGCCTGTGTGATCCCTGTCAGAGCGGTGCAAAATGACGTCAAGCGGGGGTTTTTCGTTGGCCGCACGTATGAGTGAAATTCCGCCACAACACGCAGCTCCGCCGTGTCCACGCAAACCACCGGAAACTCAATAATCTCATGGGGATAGGCCACGCTCGCGCTGTCGCAGGTCGCCTCAAAGTCACACACAAGCAGGTGAGAAAAAATCTGCGGCACGAGCCTTTTTTTGCTCTGCGAGGAGGAACCGTTGTGGCGATCGACAGCGTCACTCGTGCCGGCCGACTGGGCAGCTGTGCGCCTCTTCGCACCCCGCATGAGGATCTCAAACCTCGTGCCCGTCCCGTGCAGCAACGCACCGCCGCCATCGTCCTCGGCGCCATCATCCGTCCCGTCCAGCGCGCTCTCCGGCAGCGGTCGCAGTTCCTTCCGTATCAATGCCACCTCCGCCGCCAAGTCCCGCGTGCGCGCACTCTGCATCGAACCTTTATTTCTCTCACTCTCTCTGTATTTATTGTTGCGCTCTTCTTGTCGTCGGCTCCCTTCCCCCGAGTCAAGCGTCAACAAACTGACGTCGCCTGCCACCCGACAGCCGACTCGTTCCGACCCCAACTACACATCAAAAGGAATTTGTAAAAGTGACGACGTCCGCATCCGTCCAGTGAAAACAAATCGTCGCGGGAGTTTGTAAAAACACACCGGAAACGACGACAGACAACATTACAAAGAAGAGAAAAAATTAAGAAAAAAAAAAGCCAAAGAGATTACAGAACGCCCTTAGCTACGTTGCCTCCTCCATTCCACCTCCGCATACAAATAAACACACACACACACACACACAGAGAGAGAGAGAGAGAGAAACACATGGACGGAAAAATAAGTAAAGGCACGCAAAACCTTTCAGCGTACGTATAAATGCATCACTATACGTGGGTGTAAACATATATATATTTTTATATATAACAAAGCAAAGAAACATACAAATACAAGCACAATACAATATATACATGCATGTATACAGGGGAAGGTTGAAAGGCAACGGTAAGAGAGCCACACTCCTCGGGGAAAGGGCAATATATAATTGAAGCATTAGTATGTGCATCCATATCACACTACTAGCAAATAAAGCAAAAGAAAAAAAAACATTTATATATATTTCAAAACATACAAAAAAAAAAAAAAAAGACAACCGGTTTTGGTGATGGAAGAGGTGGAAAAAGAGCCCATGCCAGCAACCCGGACGACTGTTCCTTCCACTCCCCCTTTTCCCATGCAATCTCTCTCTCTCTCTCTATCACCCCTAAAACCCTCCCCGCATTCACCACCCTTTTGCTCATCTTACCCCAACCCTTTATATACACAAAAAAGGCACTATAAAAAAAAAAAAAAAAATCCAAAATAAACACAAACAACAACAAAAAAGAACAGGAGGAAAAAACAAATGGACACACAGTTAAAAAACACGGTCCGTCAATTCTCCGCCGTTCCATCGTCACGGCCATGTAAACACAATCCACTTCCCTAATGCAGACTAAAAAGCACACTGTACACTATAGAGAAGCATAACCCTCAAAACTAACTTATGGATACATCCGCAAAGATATATATATATATATCAAGAGAGCCTATTTGCGTTCCGCCACCCCACAAATATCCCCCTTAAACTTCCCCTCCATTCCGTCTATCTTTCTCAGCCTTGATTACGATGATGAGGCATCCGTGTCATTTTTGTCCAATTTTACCGTTTCTGTCGCTGTCGTTGTGATCTCAGGTGCCACAAGGCTTGCCGTCGTAGCTGTCGCACCGTATGGCAGGCGGCTAAGCGGGATTTCGCAAAAAGAGCATCCCAATTTAAGCATGCGTATCACAATCGTCGCAACGTTCCTTGCGTCGTCAATGCCACTGTGTAGCCGTCCTTCAAAGGGGCAGTTAAGCGCATCAAGCATCGCCTTTATTTTGCCTTGCTGGCACTGAAAGAAGTGTGCAAAGAAACGTTTCACATCAATCCATTGATAAAACATACTGGGAAAGCGAATCCCTTGCCGCGATACGCTGTGAATGTACATAAATTCCTTCAGGTCAGTGGGACCATCCGTGGCCAGCATGGTGCGAGAACCGGGAGGGACTGTCTGTGCATGCCATCGTTCAAATCGCCGAATAACATCCTCCAGCGGCAGGGCGTTATCGATATCTTCTTGTCGAATGCCCGTCAATTGGCGGCAGAACTCACTCAGTTTGGGGTTCACCTTGGGCTTGACAAAGTGGTGAAACTCGGCAACAGCCCGTTGCAGCCTCACGTCAACCATAACAACAGGAAACTCAATGATTTCGTGAAGGTACGACGGTGGGGTGCTCTCTTCGCAAGTGGCCTCAAAATCCAACACGAGCAGATAATCATACGGACAACTCGAATGACTCAGGGCGGGATTCATAAAAGACAAAAGAGGAGAAACAGAACCACTCCAAGTGCCACGTGAGCGGTTGCCATAGTAGTTTCCAGAAGTGGTATGCGCATAGTTTGCCGCGGCCGCGGCTGCAGCTGCCGTACGACGTCGAATCATATCTTCCCGGGATTCCAGTTTGAATGCCGTGTTGGAAGAAAGCAGAGAGGGCCCAGCTGGAGGTGTCGTGCCATTTGATACTGTCGTAGATGCCGACGGCATGGCTGAACTTGCCATTTCCATGGCAACGCCGCCGCACTGATGCAAAGGCGGTGTTGAAAAGGAAACGGGGGAGTTTGTGTGAGGATCGGCCGCCGGCGTTGATGCAGATCTACCAGAAAAGTAGTACGGGGCCGCACTCAGTGGAGGACTCGCCAAAACTGAATGAAGACGTGACTCAAAAGGAACCGCCTTGTGATTGAGTGTGCTGTGAACCTTCAATTTGTCTATAACCACCATTTGCTGGTGTTCCTCGTCCGCCTCCCCCTGCTGCTTCGGTTTGTGTTCTGTTGTCCTGTCCGAAAATGACGGCGCTCGCGGTGACTCGATGCCCGATATCGCCGCCTGCGACAGCGGCAACGTCACGCCTGCACTGCAGGATGACTCCGAATCCTTTGGTGACGTCTCGACATCCACGCACCAGCCAGTGCCCAAAACAGTGTCCAATACAAACGTCAATTCCTCGCGATTCTGCACCAACCGGTGCACAGTACTGAAATACAGCTTAATATCCTCCCATTGGCCCTCCGCATTGCGCCGATGCGTGACACGGTTACAACTCTTGGTGCCGTTGCTGCCACTACTACCACTACCATTACTGACACGGCTACTGCCGCCTTCCACCCTGTCCACACCAGTGCCCGCCCCGCTGCACCCCATGGCGGTGGATGAAGAACTCACACCATTCGTTGCAGTTCCCTCCTTCTCGAGTGAGACGTTTCCCAGCGAGGCACCCGTTAAAGCAATCTCTCGTAGCACTCGGATAAGCTCTGAAACAGACTTTTCATCTTCTGGGATGAGCTCAAATGTCTCCGCAGAGGACTGAATTCTACTCGAGCCAACATTCCTATCATGTTGGGTGCCAATATCTGAAGTAGCGTCAACAAGAACAACAGCGTCGGAAGCAGCTGACGAACCACAAGAAGAAGAGAGTGGAAAACCTCTTCTCACAACCTCCGCGAATGAAGTTCCCTTTGCTAAACCTCCCTCAGTGCTGCTTGGTTCTGCGTGTTCTCTGCCTTGCTTTTCCTGCTGGTGCCGATGCTGCAGCTTCATATTTCGGTACGCCTGAATTGTGGCGGCGTCTGGTGGGTTTTGCATCAACAAAGAGAGCCACTGGATGGCCAGGGATCGTGCCATGCGGAACTTTTCTATTTTTGAATTCGCATTATCCCTCAAGCCGTGGCGCCGGCCGCCATGACGCATTATGCGAGCGGGTGTCCGTCCTTCTGCCTTGCCTGGTGACTTCCACCACGAGCCCCCGGCCTCCGTATGGCACAGTGGCGACAGGTGGGGCTTCGACAATCTGTCTGAGTGGTCGTCATCCAGCAGCGCTGTCTGCTCAGAGTTGCTTCTATTGAGCGTGTCCGCCATCTCACCCCGCGGCGATGGCGTTTGGTGGTGTACGTTCTCAGCGCTCATTGTCCAAACTGCTTCGCCCCCTGTCTTTGCCTCTTCTATGATTTCCACACGTGTCAAGCCCTGACGCCTCCTAATTTTTGTTGTTGTTTTGTCTCACGTTTCTCTTCTTCGTCTTTTTTTGTTTTTAATCTCCGTTTCTTGCTTGTTTTGTCTTCTTTGCTCAAATCGTCCTTCCTTTTCCGTTATGGTTGTTGTTTCCTCGCCGCCCCAAAAGACACGCACTTTTGCTCTCGCTTGCTTCTGCGCCGCCGCGCCTCTACGAGCGTGCGTGTGGGCGTCACAATTTTGCGTGCAAATTACGTCGGTGGGGAGTCCGTGAGCCACGCCTCCTCGCCCACGCGTTACTCGCCAGTGGAGAGGAAAAAGGTGGCTTCGAGCGCGAGTGTTTACCCGAGCAAAGAGAAGACCACCACCGCTACCCACAACAACAGTCACAGCAGCAGGCCAAACAATCAATTAAAAAGAGTGAGGCGTCGTATTGTGGTTCCACTGCGTATGACACCCTACACGCCCACCCAATGTAAAGGCACACAAGTATGGATGAATGAATTTGCACGCTGCTGAGTGTGTCCGTGTGGGGCGTGAGCCGCTGTTCCCAACTTTTTTTTATGTGTGTACGGTGTGGCTATTTAAATCCTCTGACTGAGCGAATCTATCGCTGCGCCTCCTTCGCTCACACAGTCACTCCGCCGCAGTCCCCTTCTCTCTCCTTGTGTGTAATTATTAATCAATTTGTGTCTGCCTCTGTGTGAGTGTGTATGAAGCACACTTGTGCTTTGTTTTCTTCTTCGTGTCGCCGCCGTCAACCGGAGCCCCTCACTCCCTTTTTTGATGCCGCTTCCTGCTAGCCTCCTATTCCTGCCAGGAGCGGCGGTGCGAGTGGGAGGGCGAGAAACAAAAAAGGGACAGAGAAGTGAAGTCATCCAAAAAAATTAGCAGGCACATCCTGCAATGAACAGGAGACAATCTAGTAAATAGGCATACATGGGAGAGTGCATGCATGCCCGCACACACAGACACACATCGGTGTTTAGTCATGATTTTATCTATCTTTTTTTCTTTTAAAATTGTCTCTTGCAACGTACCCTCAACAACTCCCCCGCCCGAGCGGCAGAAGACAAAAAAAGGGGGGAAGGGGGAATTTGTGCATGCGTTTATGTTCGTGTGTCTCGTGAATGTTACACGTAAAAGCCCAAACAAGCTCAGCCAACGGTGCATTGCGGAGCATCCCACGCCACACACCGGCAGCCAAATGGAGAGAAATGCATGCACTCTTTTCTTTTTTTTTTTTTGATGCACCGATTTACTGCAGCCGTCCCCGCCAACGCAGTATCCTCGTGGACACCAGAATAAGCAGCATCACGGCGGCGACAATCAGGAGGATGCACAGAGCCACCAAGCGACAACGAATTGCAAGCCTACCTCGATTTAACCGTTCTCCAATTTGCTTCAAGGCCACACCACGGAATTCATAGGGATGCTCCTTGCGGTACTGAAGCACTTCCGCTTTATGCCGCTCACCAAATCGAAAATACTCTAGGCCGTAGCAGCTCTTGGCAATGTCGTCAACGACGTCGGGGTCCAGTCTGCCGCTGCCCTCCTCGCGGCGGTAGAGCGGATATGTGTCTAGGTGGTAGTGGTAGTCGTCGTCCATGGGAATGACGATGAGAAAGTCGAAGATGCAGCCGGCCCTCATCATTGCCACAGCCAGTCGTGCAATGTTTACTGCATCGTCAAAGCCGCAGTGGGGGCGGCCCTCAAATCGCAGCCGCATCCGCCGCAGCATGGCGTCCAACTTGATCGGCGCGCCACGATTGAAGTGGTGGGCGAACGTCGTGCGAATGTCGAGGTATTCGTAGAAGATGCCGGGAAAACTGACGTGATCACGCAGGATGGAGTGCTCGTAAATGAAGTTCTTGAAGTCCCATGGGCCGTCCGCGGCAAATGCAACTTTGGCCCCAATAGGAATCGTCTCACGGTACCATCGCTCAAAGGCCTTCACCACCTCCGGAAGGCCGGGCGCGTTATCAACGTCCTCCTGCGAGATACCGGTCAATTTTTTGCAGAATTCTGAGAGCACAGGATTGCGCCACGGCTTCACGTACGAGCGAAAAGAGCGTCGTGTGTCCACGATGCCGCGGCGCACGTCAATTAGGACCCCAGGGAACTCGATGATTTCGTGATGATAGTTGTCATTGTTGCTCTCACAGGTCGCCTCGACATCCACAACAATGATGTAGTCAAACAGCTGCCGGTCCAACGGATCCGCCTCGTCGTAGATGCTGACGTACGGCACACGGCCTAGGAAATGCCCATTTTGTGCATGCGACTTCTGCTTATTTTTACCACGCTGCGCTGCGGCCAAACGCTGCCCGTGTTGACACGCTATGCGCTCCTTATTGGCCATCCTATGTGCCATGGCCCGCTTCGTGTGGTGCGGCATCCTTCTTTTGGCGCCTGCTCCAGTGCGAAAAGAAACAGCCGACATCACGTAATAAAAAAAGAAAAAAGAAAAAAAAAGAACAGCAGGAAAAACAAATAAATGAACGGCGGAATAACATCAAGTAAAAACAGCCGAAAAAAAAAAAAAAGAATGGGTGCAGAATTGCAGTGCACTACGGCTAAAAACAGCAATGAGTCCTGCACGCACACGAACACGCTTGAAAATCAGCCTCTTCACATACGACTTATTTGGCTCCCGTCGCAATAACAAATGAGAAGGCCAAAAAAAAACAAAAATTTACATGCGTCTCCGAGAACCGACCACTTCTTTGTTCTCATTTTAATAGCTAGCCTCAGCCCGCATATCGCACACGAATGAAAAAGGCGACGCCATTTCACCCACCCGTCCTTTTTATTTTTCTTTCCTCAACTGCTTTCTTGTGCGGGTGCGCTTTCCACACATTGTGAAGAAGCCTGGTCGTCCACCGGGTTCTGATTGAAGGCCTCCCTGCATGAGAGGAAGTAGCAGTGGTTGTACAAAAGCCGTGCGGCAGACGAGACATCCTCGCGAAACTGCTGGCAAAGCCTGCTGTTGTGCGCAATGATGTCCAAGAGGAACTTTTCTTCTTCTGGCGTCCGAAGCTCCAACTCACCGTCGGGGCACCAAATGGAAGTGTCATCGGTTGGCTGCCGCAAACGCTCCTCGCCGCGGAGTTTGCCCCTGATGATCTCAACACAAAGACGCAGAAGAGGCAGACTTGTTTGGTACGGCAGAAGTACTCGTAGCATGTCAACCGATGGAATGTAATCGCAGAGACGACGGATGTCACTCTCGCACGCGTGAAAATGATGCGCCCCAAGAGCGACGAGTAACGGCACAGACGAACGGGATGTGCAAAGTTGCGGCAAGTGCTCCAGCAGCACGCGGGCGGCATCCACGTAGCCGTTGCAGATGGCATAGTACAGCGCCGTACATTGCGCATCGTCGCACAATTCTGCATCCGCGCCAGCCTCCAGCAGCATCCGTACAACATCCCCGGGGTCACTGTTGGGATTGTTCACAGCACATAACAACGGTGTCCATGCAAACTGCGTTGATATCGCCGGATCTGACGATGCACTGTTCACCACCAAGGCAGACCCCCGCTCCAAAAGGGTCTTCACATAACGACTATTGTTTCGAAAACAGGCGCGGTTCAGGCCCGAGGCGGTGTTTGTCACGGCACCGCTGAATTCACCCCACTGGACATCTCCCTCTGAACTCTCCCCGAGTTGGTAGCATTTCCCACACGGCCGACGGAACAATTCTGGGAAGGCACAAAACGCGTCGTAGACGGTTTCGTACTCCGCCCCCGACAGTCCCTTTGCCACCCACGCACCGGTTTCTTGGGTGAATCGTATCGCCCGCGTCGCCAGGCCATTCTCACCATCAGTGCGTGCCTGTTTTTCCGACTGGCGTCGAAGGACGAGTGCCACAACCTCGCCCGGGATGTCTGTGAGTGTTGCCAGGCAGTCCCCCTCCTGCGCATCCGCTCGACGTGCAAACGCCTTTTTGTGATACTCCAACGAATGCTCAAGTTCAAACAGCCCAACCTGCATGACGTCCCTCATGTTGCGATCCAGAAGGAGAAAAGGACCCCACACGCTCAGAAGGCGTTTCAGGGTATAGAGGGAGACTACACCGCATTCTCTGTAGTTCACCACCTTCATAATGGCCACACGGGACCATTCCGGAAAGAACTGAAGCGCAGGGGAAAAGGTGTCTGCAAAACACGCCGGTTTCTCTTTCCCCACATATGCATTCCAAATCTTCCGTACAGAAACATCCCCCAAATACGCGCCTGAGTCAAAGTAGGTGTTTTGCTGAGACACCTCCAAGTACCAGCGCAGATGTGCCAAGTGAAAACCGACACCGCCATCGATATCCGCAAGGATACATTCCAACTCAGCAGGGAGATGCGCCCCCTCATTTAACCACGGCATCGTGTCCTCCTCCCCTCCACCCTCCAAGTAATTCTGTCCTTCGGCTCGTAATTTTAATCCGCCACTCTTCGAAGTCGAAGACGCCATTTCATCCATGTAACGCTGCAGCTCTTCCAGTGCGCAAAGCAGCAGGGAACACAATGCGCCGGAAAGGCGATAAAACACAGGGGCTTGCTTCACGGAGCATTTGAAGGACGTAATGCGAAGAAAAAAGTTGTGCGCCTCCTTCATTTGAGGAAATACATGTGCCAGTGGAACTTTCGCCTCCGTGCAGGTGGCATCCAGACGCGAGGTGAGAGAGAGCGCAGAGCCCACCTGGGACTCTGCCACAGTCGTCAGATCCACACCACGCAAGTGATGCCTTTCCTCCATGATGGCCATCTGAAACTGACGAAATTCCTTCGCGGAAAGAGGGGCACCGTTGATCTCCTCCAGCAGCATTTCAAGTTCATGCACAGGCAGATTGGGGCCAACAGGCGTAAAGAGCTCGGAAACCTGCATGCTGTCGACATCGTTCAGCACACGCGCCAGAGCGCGTAGATCCGGTGGGATCATCGCCCGCATGACTGCGGCAC